TCCGAGTCCAAGTCCGAATTCGAGTCTGAGAGGGTGAAAGCCTAAAGCGTTCGTCTCCTAGACTCTGGGGGGTTTGGTGAGCTCCAAAAGTATAGTAGGGGGAGGACTGCAATGGAGCCAGTTTGGCCAGGAAAGGCCAGTTTGGCCCAGAGAGGCTGCACCCAGTGTTGGGTGATGAGTTGACCACTGGGAAGTCCAAGACTAAAGTGAACATGGACCGACAAGCGGGGTAGCTTGGTGAAGTGTTCAAGAGCCGGCTCTAGTTCCCCCGGGAGATCATCTGGCCGATGCTCCCAGTCCAAGTGTGGGTGGCACTACCTACTTGGATACCTAGTGTGGCTCAATGGAACCTCGCTCTAAGCCCATGGCTAGAGCACCTAAAGGCGGAAGGTGGGGAGAGTACCTATGGGGCTCACGTAGGGCCACAGTGTTTCGAAATGTTGTCCCGAAGTCCCAATGGGGGAAAGGAGGAGGAGCAATCTTCTAGTGTAGTGACTACGGATACAGTTACATGGTGAGGAAGTCCCAGGGGACAATGGGACTTAGTGGCCGGGCCTGCGGGCCTCGACCTAGTGGCAGTGTTGGTGAACATAACCATGGACGGGAAAGGGACTTGGTAGGAACTGATAAAGGGATGTTGGGGAAGGCTATTCCCCATGTCTGTGGGCATCCTAAGGATGCTAAGGAGTGGATCTGGGATGATCACTCGTGGCTGGATGGCCCAGTCTTTGAGAGACGGGACTGTGATGCAAGTGGTGTTAGATCACCAGTGTGACCAAGGTGAATGGGCATGGCCTTAGCATAACGGGCTGATATGTTAGTGGTACCTTGGGGTGTTGGTCATGGGATTGGACACGTGGGGCACTTAGACCAAGTGCAAAGGTTGAGTGGCGGGGATGCCATTCTAGGGGCTAGCAAGCCCAAGTCCGAAATAGGACTTATGGAGGTTGTGAGTGAGACTCCTTCAAGTGGTTGGAGATGCGGTTAAGTGACTAAAGTAAAATGGAAAAATTTAGTCAGTTACAGACTGATTCAAATTGCTTCCTGCTCTTGTCCCTTTGCTCCTTGAGCTATATGCTCGGGAGTTATTACGTGCTCCAGTGCCATTGCTCCTTGGTTCCATACTTGGGAGTTTGGCACTATTCTTTTGTTTAGTGGCCTAAGGCAATGAAACTCGGGTTCCACTCCGCTGTCCTTTAGACATGTGGCATATGGCATATGGCATATGACACATGGCACATGGAGGTTTAGATTTCGCTTTGTGGTTATCTTATGGTAAATCACTATAGGATAAAAGATGAAAACCATGTGCACTACATTTAGTATCAAAGAATGAGTTTTGGCGAATACTATCCAATGAGATTGGGCAACTAGTTTCGTTGCATACGCAGAGATAAAAATGATGATCCGAGTGGGTACACATTTAAGTGCAATGACTTTGCATTCATTCCTTGGGTATAAATTTTGATTACCTGTTATACTTTATTATGTGAACTTGCTCTTGAGCTCATAAAAAGGATTGAGATGTTCTATTTTGCACGAGTTTGTGTTTGGACTCGTGAGTGAGGCACTTTAGCAACTTAAGATTACACTTTGAGTTGGCAAGATGGATTTGAGGTGTACAATTTTTGGATGAGTTTGTGTTTGGGCTTGTGAGTGAGGCACATTAGCAACTCAAGGTTACACTTTGAATTAGCAAGATTAATGTTAGCCTATCAATAGTTCCATGAGTTGTTCCATGTACCATGGGTAAAAGTGTGAAAAGCTTCTTAGGCAAGATGCAATATCTTAGTCATTTCATTAATCATTTTTTTATCATACTGCACTATTGCGAGCATTATTAAAATTAACAATATTGTTATTTCATTTAGTCTGTGGACTGTGAGTAGGCATTTACAAACCTTAAAGAGTTATTAACGACTCCTTTAGTTTTAGCATATCCTGACTATACTTAACCTTTTATTTTACATATGGATGCTTATGATATCGGTCTTAGAGGTGTGTCGCAAGTGTGCTTGGTCAGTGCCATCCCATTGCATATATATTACAATTAGTAAAGGTGAATTATTTTATAACAAAAAAGGAGTGTTTAACAGCAATTTGGGATTTGTGTATATTTGTATAGTTCTCAGACATTATTAAAAGGTGATCATGCTACAAGTACTTCATTAAAGAAGTGGAAGAACTTTATTAGTCATACTACTTAGTGGGTCTTGAAGCTTTAAATATATGATTTTAAAGTTGTTCATCACCTAGGGAGTTCTATGGCTAATCCCAATACCCTTTCTTGAGCTCCTCTCCCTTCTTCACTCTTTTCTTTTATTTCTAGTGAGCATGTTATTCAAGCATCAGTGGATTTCTAAATGAAAATTCCATGTTGTTAGCAGTTAATGTACATAATATTTTATGTCCACAAGGTGTAGAGAAAAATTTACTTTCTCTTAATGAGGTTCATAAGATTCAAAAGATTGAGTCATGGATCTGAAGATTTCGTGAAGGGTTTAAAAATCTTGGATCACTTACTAATAATTTGCTATTTTAGCATCTACTTTTTCAATATTGCCTTAAAAATGACCTTTATTTTATTAGGACTGATTCTAATTATCATTTATAGCTAATAGTGCTTTTGATATTTATTCCATACTTTTACCATGTTTATCATGACTCTTCTATTTTAAGCAAATATATGATTGAGAAGCTGCACAAGTTTTTCAATTGTCCAAAGATGTGACATGATATTATTTGACAAATGTATAGCTGTGTTTAGTGGTACCCCTTTGTTTTATAGAAGGACAATTGGAGTCAATTGCAATTTTCTATCCCTTTGAGTTAGTGATGTTTAATTTGATGGGGCCTTTTCCACAATCAACTGTTAGTAATGAGTATGATATTATTACTTTCAACTACTTGACTTATTGAGTAGAAATTAATACTCTTGCTAGTGTGTTAGTGATTGATATTTGGTACTTCCTCCTCAATCAAGTGGTGTTTTAACATTCTTGTGTAGAGCAGATTCTCTCAAATAATGGTCCCATATTTATGACTAAAGTATTTCATATTGCAATATCTTGGTTGGGGATACACTATATTTTCATAAGTGTTTATCATCCATAGGTAGATAGCTTGGTAGAATGGTTTGTTTGAACTTTCAAAAAGAGAGTTTTGTTGGTGCTTTACTATATAAATTTTTATATGGTCATGATCCAATATTACCAATAGAGTTGAGTTTATTGTCGATGTTAGGTCCTAGAATCAGCATTTAACAAACATTCTTCCACTTGTCTAAGTGGAATATGCTAAACACTTAGGCCATATATAAATGAAACAACAATAGTGCTACAACTTTCATCAGCAAAATACAAAGTGGACAACTTAGTGTTAATTTATTTTTCAATTCTTATAGTATATGGTTTGTCTAAAAGATTGCTTATTCAGTGGAAGGGATTATATCGGGTGTTGCGGCAAGTTGAACTATAAATTTATAAAGTTTGGCATAATTTGATACTCTAGAAATTATGTATGCATTTAAAATGCTTCATACAAAAGGATCAAGAATAATTAGCACCACTTAAAGATCTATAGATACCTCCTTTTGATATTCCTCCAAATCCCAGCCCGTCAACCAAAAAACCTTAACTTCTAATGATGATGTGAAGTCTAAATATACAACTATAATACCATATATTAATATTAATGTAATAGGATTTTGATCGCTTTTGTATTTAAGCTAAATTTTTTGGGCTAATTGATATGTATATTTCTGTATTCTATTTTTATATTCCATGCACTTATATTGTATAAAAAAGTATTTTATTATAAATTTAGTAAAATGTAAGATCTAAGTTTATATTTACATCTTTAAATATTTATAATCTAATTATTTCTATAGATATGTTCTTATTTTTATAATTTCTAAGTTTTAAGTAGTGTTTAATCATTTAGAAATAACTTATTTTAAATATAAATAACTTATAAGTAACTTAATTATACTTTATATATAAACATATTAATTAGGGTTTAGACCACTACTTATATAAATGAATGGATAGACCAAATTTGCTAGATTTGTTCTGATGAGCAACACAGCTGGAGCAAGCCAAGTGTCTGGCATGGCCCCTCAGATTTATCACCTAGTGTCCTTGTGTATTCCCTCAAATTTTGCTCTAAATCACAAGTCCCTTGCAAGATTAGTGTATTTCACTTTGCAAACACAAAACACAGTTGCCCATATGATTGATGGATTTTATGTATGTCTTAGTCACTCTAGATCCTCCCCACTTTGGTAAACTCTTGGTCAACTTTTAGTCTACAGTCAAAAACAATATTCTGAATATTCTTGGATTGCCAAAATGTTGACCAAGTCAATGTGGCATACTCTTCTTGTGGTTTTCAAATTGCCACACATGATGCCTTGGAAAGTGCACGAATCATAGTAGTGGTGTCACGCTACCGATGCCAGTAACACACACACCGACACCTCGTGGGGCAACCTTCTCCACAAGACTGATGGACTCGGCCTCCCACCTTTTCAGTCAACGGTCAACGAACAGAATGGAATATTTCCCAATATTCCTTACTTCTAGCAAAACGCTACAAGGATTTGCTTAGACCATGACTTTCTTGAGGTTCTACATTTTTCAGTTATCTCCTATATATTTGTTTGATTATTGTTGTTATTTTTATTAAGGCCCAAAGAATGCAACCAAATGTGATATATCACATGAACAGTGGAATTCATGGCGGTCCACATTCTACAACTATGTTTGTATGTATTAGTGTAGGCATGAGACGGTCAACAGTCAGTCACATTCATAAAACGCACATTCAACTCAACAACTACTTTAAAATGGTCAAGAAACATCATGAAAATAAAGGAATAATATCTTGCAAAATCTTTAGATATCTTTAAATTACAATTAAAAAAAGTAAAGCATGTGAACCAGTTTGTCCAAACGAGGAAGTGACATTAAACTTTGTTGCTCTTAAATTTTATTATTTCATCTGATCAGCTAAGAGATGATAAAAAGGTCATACTAAACGCCCAGAGCTTGTTGGCCAGTTTCATGTCCTTTGCATTAGCGTGACAATCCGCTTCATTGCAATCCATAAGGTATTTGCCACTGATACCTTTGAGTGACGGATGAACTGCAGCATAAACCGTTGTAGCAGCTCCCTGTTTCCCTGGACGCTTCAAACCATGGCATTAAACAAATCTCCAATCCAAACCTGTGAAACGTTTTTCAGGAATGGAGATCCCAATGCAAATATTGTCCCTGCAAAAACACAAAGTTCATCATCTAGTTCAGGTTCAGTAAGTGTCATACTTGTGAACAATGCGTTGAAATCACGTCCAATGCCAGTGCTGATGCTACCCGGATGTAAAGCATTGACTGTTACATTGACGTCTCCCATTTCCTGCAACACATACACCGTTCTTTGTCTGGAGTATTTAAAATCTGCATATCAACCTGTAACCTCTTGGAGAGCTCCTTGCAATGGAGCAAGTTTGCCAGTTTCGATTGACCATAAGAGGTCGCATACCAAAAGCTAGAGTCACAACAACTTCAAACATGTCAAGTCTCTAGCGGAACTTGAAAGAAAAAACCTTTTTTTGTCGTTTATCTTGTCCAAGGCTATTCCACCAGTTGGTGTGAACCTATGCGCCTCTGAAGACACGATTACGATCCTTCCCTCCTTGCCACTCTCCCTTGCCGTTTTGATCATATCCTCTATTAGCAGCTCAACTAGCAGGAAATGGCCTATGAAAAATAGACGGCCAGCAATTGTTTTTTAAATCTTATTTATTTAAAAATACCCATATAATTTGTTGCGAAATCTAGCTCAAGACCATCTTCCGACAGAACGAATTTTCCAGCAGCAATTCCTGCATTGTTTCTAAAGAATTCTCAGTCCAGATTGAGAATCGAATGACTTACATGAGAATGTTGAGAGGGAGCTTAAGAGCTTTGAAATTGGCCACAAACTTCCGCACGGATTTGAGGGAGCTCAGATCAAGCTCTAAGATGGCAACATTTGCATCCGGAAACTCTTGCAAGATTTTGCATCGCACTTCCTCCCCGGATTGGAGCTTCCGCACGGGAATAACCACACAAGCGCCTTGTTTTGCTAGCACCCTTGCAGTTTCTACTCCAATGCCAGATGTTGCTCCTGAGGCACTACTCTTGGATCTAAACGAGTCCCAGGAATTTGTACTTCTTACCAGTCACAATGGCGGTGTAGGAGGACAAAGAAATGCCGTCAGCGACTTGCTCCGCTGTGGTTGACGATCCATATCCGCTCTGCCCTTTGCATCCAAAGAGGTAACGGAGAAAATCCATTGCCAAGTGAAGGAGTCCTGAAACCCGAATGACCAGAAGATAGTTGTTAATGTAGTATGTGTATGGTCAAAAAGCTAGTTTTTCTAGAGCCTCGAGTCACGAGCTCCCTTGCATGCATAGTAATATTCAAACTAGTGCTAAGACTGACTTTCGCTTTAAAAGCACGTCGTCTGACTTTTTCTTTGTGGTCCTCTACCAAAGACAATAGCATTGCACTAGTCTTTGCACTCACGACCAAAGACCATAGGACCTACATTGCACTAGTCTTTGAGAGAGGGACCTACAACTGGAACTTTTAGAGAGAAACAGCTTCGGCTTCAAGTGAAATAAATAATAGGACCTCAACAAGTCATGGTCTAAGCAAATCCCTATAGCGTTTCCAAACCTCCAACCTTGTTGTGATGAATCTACTCTTTCTCCAGCTAATCATCTTGCAAGCTTTGGAACTGGTACTTGGTAATAGATCAACTGATGCAACGACACTTCTCCGCTTGAAGACTTCACTGGAAGATCCATCCGCTGCTCTAAACAGTTGGAGTTCAAAGACTACCAGTGTCTTATGTCAGTGGAATGGTGTAACATGTTCACCAGATGGCCTGGTGATTAGGCTGGATCTCCGGTTCAAATCATTATCTGGTGCCATTCCCTTCGATGTCATTGGAGATTTATCTCATCTACAGGGCTTGTTCTTGTCGGGCAACAATCTTACTATCTCCCCCATCTCCTCGTCGAACAGTTCATCAGAGTGCTCATTGGAGTATCTAGATATCTCAAACAACAGAATCACTTCCAGTGATAGCGTCAGCATTCTTGATGCATGCACAAGGCTCAAGCTTCTCAATCTCTCACACAATCTCATGTACGGATCATTGTCTGTGTCTTCTCTCACTAGTTGCAAAAGCTTGGAAGCTCTAGACATCTCCCACAACCTCTTGTCTGGAGACGTTGAACAAGTGATCAACCTGTGTGCTCGAAACCTGAAGACCCTGAATGCCAGCCATAATAGCTTCACAGGTGATCTCCCCGCTTCTCTCCCTTCGAAGCTTAGGATTCTCAACTTAAGCTCCAATAGATTCACAAACGGAGATGTCATGAGGGATATATGCTCGAGCACTGGCTCGGAATTGGAAGAACTCATCATTTCAAACAACAGGTTGACGGGTCCGTTCCTCCATACCATTCTCCTTTGCCGAAAGCTCAAGGTGTTGGATCTGAGCTTCAATACAATCAGCGGAGAAATCCCAACTGACCTCTGCGAGAAGACATCTAAACTGGAGCACTTTGCCGTCTGGTCAAATGAGCTTCACGGTCCTGTACCTACGACCATATCTAAATGCAGCTCATTAGTCACTCTCATCCTTAGCTTCAACAACCTCCAAGGTCCCATTCCTCCCGAGGTCTCCAAGCTCCACAGCCTGGAATGGTTGATCCTGAGCAGCAACAACCTGTCTGGAACAATTCCCTCATCTCTCGGGCAGCTGAAGCGACTCACAGTGCTTGCCGTCAGTAACAACTCTCTCGAAGGTGAGCTTCCTGGTGAACTCTCTGGATGTGAGAAGCTTGCATGGCTAGATCTCAACAACAACCGTCTCACGGGAGAGATTCCTCCTCGCATAGGGCGATCAAAGCCAGCCCCGCTCGTGGACAACACAACAAGGGAATTTCGGCTGGTGTTTGATAACAACGAAGCGTATAAGTGCCCTGGAAACCGGGGCATCAACTCGATTTTCCCCCTTCTCGGCATTAGCATCCAGGAGTTTCAGACCAAAGCTCCTATGGTGTGTAACAAGCGGCTGTACATCTACCAGGACAAGCTCTTCCCGGAGATTGACAGTCTGGTATTAGTGGACCTGTCTGGAAACCTGTTTACCGGCGCTATTCCTGTGGAGTTTGGAGACATGCAGAGTCTGTATCAGATCAGCCTGGCAAGGAACCGAATGTCTGGCCGCATTCCTTCCAGCCTTGGCTTTCTCAAGCGATTGAGTACTGTGGATCTGTCGAGCAACTTGTTCACTGGTGTGATACCTGTATCATTCTCCAGGCTCCCGCTCATGGATTTCAATGTCTCGTTCAACAATTTATCGGGAGGGATTCCGCAGAAGGGTCAGTTGACGACGTTTCCATTGAGTTCGTTCCAAGGGAATTCAGGGCTATGTGGATCGCCTATTTCACAGTGCCAGGAACCGGATCATGAAGGATCAACACCTGAGAAGGAGGTAGGGAATGATGATCATGATGAGGTATTGGCAGGGATGGTAACGGGAGCAGCTTGTTTCTTGCTATGGAGCTTTTGTATTTTGTTCTGGGAAAGTCTGGGGAGTTTACTTACACGAAAGTAGCTTTAAACCATTTGTAAAAATAAGTAACCCAAAAGCTTTTCTCTTAACTCAAATGTGTGAGGTTTAAGTGTATGTTTACTATTATAATTGTCGGATTAATTTCAATCTAGACCTGTATATAACTTAAGGTTTTTGGGTTAATTAATATATATATTTTCTGTATTCCCTTTCCATATTTCATGCACTCACATCAATGGAGGTGAAGGGCATTTTTAATTGTCCCTGAAGAATGTTTAGATTTGGGATTTTAGTTTAACTTTAACTTTTTGTATTGTCTAGATCTAGCTTTTTCTATTTCCTTTCTTTTGTTTTTTCCTTTCAAGATTTTGGTTTAAATCTAGCCTTTGCATTGTTTAGATCTCCCTTTCCTTCTAACTTTTTTCATTTCTTTTTTTTTGCTCTTTCATTTTTATTCATCTTCATGATAGAGTAACAATCTCTTCCTCCTTTCACTTTGGAGCAGCAATTGGTACAATTGCTTGATATTATATAATTGCAATTGCATAACTAAACTCAGTTGATGGCAACATTCATGGCATGTGGTACAACTCCTTTTTTTTTTGGTGCCAATCCGAGTTCTTTCGTGGGAATCCTGGGGATGATGTGTTTTACTAGTTCCATCATTTCACAATGATTGCTACATATCATTCTTAAGATGATGCTCGATATTTACATGAGTTTCCCACATATTTCTAAGGGATGGTGCTGTAGTGATATAATGGTTTGAATGTAGCCACTTGTGAGGATTGAAATATTCTCATGGACATCTTCAAATGCACATTCAGATAGGTTGACGATTGTGATGATGCTTTCTAATAATTGCATCATCTTTATTAAGGGCTATCTGAGTCGATGATGCAATTTGACATTTATTTCCAAAGATTTTTGCTTCATGCAAAGCCAAATATGTCAAAGTAGATCAAGCTGGGGATATTGTGGCTAGCACTTCATGAAGATCTTGTAGAACTTGTGCATGCACTTGCTTTAGCTACCTTTGACAATACCCTTTGCTTGGCACAATGTTATAAAATGTCGCCACCTCTTTCACTTCTTGTTGCACATCCTTCAACCCCATTTCATATGGGAGATGGTCTTATTCCAATGGAGGTTGATGTTGCTACTGCTTGAGTTTAAGGACAAGAGTGAGGACGTGGTCATGGCCATGATGTTCATTGTTGATTTGCATCATGTGGTAGAACTAGTTTTCATTCTTTATGGCAACGACTGTACACATACATGTGCATAGGATGAGGTGGACCTTATTGTGTGTATAGGCAATCTTGAGCTTTGATTTGAGTAATTGCAAATGGTGCCAAGTCAAGTTTTTGACTTTATTTTTGATATAGATTAGTTGCAAGATAATCATGCCAAATGTACTTTGAGGCTTCTCCCCCTTATTTTATACTTCTTTATATTTTATCCATTCCTCTCACTTTTGAATCTTTTGGTCTTTCTGATTCTACCTTTGCTTCCATTACTTTTATCTCTTATTACTTCCTCTTATGTTTCCATTTTGTTCCACTTTTCCCTTTTCCGATCCCTCCAACGGTTTTTGTGTTACAGCGGTTGACCAGCTCATAAAGGAGTATGCCGATCTCTTTAAATTTGACATATTGTCTGAAGCCAAGATTGCCACATGTCATCCGATTCTAACTGAAAATGCTCGTCTAATTAAGGTTTATGTTCATCATTGGTCACCTAAAAAGATTAAGATTTTACATGCAAACGCTAAGGAAATGTTGGAAAATGGTGTTATTCGAATGTCGTGGAATCCTTAGCATGTGAATTTTATCTTTTGACGAAGTTTGATGTGAGTATTTGTTTTTGCCTCGACTATCATTTGTTAAATGAAGTGATAATCTCAAATGTGTACCTTCTTTTTCACACTGCTGATCTCTTAGATCAGTTGGGGAGAAGTCGTTGGGTCACCAAGCTCAATCTTTCTTTTGGGTACTGACAAGTACCAAGGGCTAAAAAAAGATATTCCTAAGACTATTTTATATACACTATTTGTTTTGTATGAATTCTTGGTGATGCCATTTAGTTTGAACAATGCTTTAGTGATTTTTTAGCGAATGATGGACTAGGTTCTTTGCAATATGCTAAAGATGATTGCTGACTTCATTAATGATGTCTTGATCCACTCGGAGGGGATGTGAAAGGAATAGGTTCATGATATTTGTAAAGTGTTGGATCAGCTATAAAAAGTTGGTTTAAAGTTGAAGTGGTTAAAATGCATGTTTGGGTCTAATGTACTGTATTTCTCATAAGGGTTTACAAGTTGATTCTAACAAACTTATGGCTGTTATAAAATTTCCTATTCCGAAATGTGTGAATGATGTGCAATATCTAGGTCATTTTGTGGATCATCTTTCTAATCACACTGCACTGTTGCAAGCGTTGCTAAAGTCATCAACGTCATCTTTCATTTGGTCTACAAATTGTGAGCGAGCATTCATGGATCTCAAAGAAGTATTGACAACTCCTCCAGTTTTGGAGTATCCTGACTACACTTAACCTTTCATTTTACATATGGATGCTTTTGATATTGGTCTTAGAGTTGTGTTGATGCAAGAAAGCTCAAGTGTGCTTAGTCAGTGCCATCCCATTGTATATATAAACCATATATTATAACCAACAGAGGTAAATTACTCCACGATAGAGAAGGAGTGTTTAGTAACAATTTAAGGTTTTGAGAAACTTCATGTATATCTACATGGTTTTAGGACATTACTAAAAGGTGATCATGTTGCCATTACTTCATTATTGAAGTAAAAAAACCTAATTGGTCATACTGCTCGGTGGGCTTTGAAGCTTCAAATATATGATTTTGATGTTATTCATCACCCGGGGAGTTTTATGCTTGATACTAATGCCCTTTTTCGAGCTCCTCTTTCTTCTTCACTTTCTTCTTATGTTTTTTATAAGCTTATTGTTCTAGCATCTATGGATTTTCTAGACGAAGATTTTCTACTATCGGTAGTTGTTATACTTGACATTCAGTGTCCACAAAGTGTAGAGCAAAATTACTTTCTCTTAATAAAGTTTGCAAAGCTCAACAGGTTGAGCTATGGATTCGAAAGCTTCGAGATGAGTTTGAAAATCCTGCATCACTTGTTGATGATTTGTCATTCTGGCATTTACATTCTCAATATCGCCTAAAAAATAGCCTTCTTTATTTTATGAGGACAAATCTTGATGATCATTTACAGCTGGTGATGCCTTCAATCTTTATTCCACGGTTTTTCCATGCCTACCATGATTCTCCTATTCTATGCGGGCATATGAGACATTGTCATGTGATTGAGAAGCTGCATAAGTATTTTTATTAGCCGAAGATGTGACATGATGTTATCCAACATATGTGTAATTGCATTTGGTACTAAACTTGTAATACTCCCCCTCGTGTTGTCGAAGGACGGTTGAAGTCAATTGCAATTCTTCATCCATTTGAGTTGGTGGCATTTGATCTTATAAGATCTTTTCCACGATAGATTATTGATAGTGAGTATGTTATTATTACTTCTGACTATTTGACTTGTTAGATGGAAGTTGGTGTTTTTGTTAGTGCCTTTGCACTTACTGTTGGATACTTCCTCCTTAATCAAGTGGTGTTCCAGCATTTTTGTTCGAAGCAGATTCTTTCGAATAATGGTCCCACATTTATAATTGAGGTATTTCATGTTTTGACATTTCGCTTGGTGATATGCCACACTTTCATAAGTGCTTATTATCCACAATTAAACGGTTTGATGGAATAGCTTGTTTGGACATTCAAAGGGATAATTACGAAGTACATGAACTTTCAGTATTCAGACTGGGATGGTTATTTGCCGTCTCTTGGGTATGCATATGTCACAGGGGTGCAGAGTTTTATTAATGCTTCACCATATAAACTCCTATATGGTCATGATCCAATATTACCAACGAAGTTGGATTTACCTGTATGATTATTACGAGTTATCGATGCTAGGTTATAGGATAAGTATTTGATGAGCATTCTTTTACTTGTTCAAATAAAGTTTACCAAACACTTTGGCCACATACAAGTGGGATAACAACGGCATTACAACCCCCATCATCGTTCACCTGCGAAGTACAAAGTGGATGATTTGGTGTTAGTCTATTTTCCCCATCTTATGGTACATGGTTTATCTAAGAGGCTCTTTGCTTAATGGAAAGGACCGTATCAGGCAATTTTATGAGGTTTGGCATGACATCCAATAGGCTGATCTACCAGAAATTGTGAATATACAACAGTTGAAACACTTCATACAAAAGGACTAGGAACAATTGTCTTCCATTATTCCAAGAAGAGGTAATATGAAGTTCAAGTGTATAGTTACAATGTTGTATACTAACATTAGCATAGTGAGATTTTAGTAGCCATTAGATTGGTTTTAATCTGGACCATTTTCTTTTGTATATAAGTTAAGATTTTTGGGCTAATTGATATGCACATTTTTTGTATTCCCTTTCCATATTCCATGCACTCACAAATGTTAAATTTCTTTATTTGTGAATATCTTTATTTAATTCTTATGACTAAATTCTGACTTAACACTTCAGTAACAAGAATTTGGAAATCCTCCTTGAGATATCAACCACATGAAAAACTTCTGAAAATTTTGTCATGAAAATCCATTTAAGTATCTAAAATATTCTTAGTGTAACACTGAGATAACAAACATGAGTAGATATAGTGGCCACACTACACAAGTTATACATATAAGTTATGCTAAGGAAAAATATTTTTTTCCACCGCCTTCAAGTAGCGTAAACTTTATGGAAATCTACTTTTCCACTACCTCATATCATAGATAACTTTCCCAACAATAGTTATGCATCCATGAATTTACAAAGACTTGAGTGAGTTATGTCGGTGCTAAGAGTTGTAGAAGAGGGGAAAGACATGTAAAGTCAGAAGATGTGGAGAGTCCTATGGACTCAAACAACAAAATAATGCTGGTTACATGACTTGACTTAAAGCCAAGATTCAGTCATATTCAACCAAGAATTCAATGTGATGTTTAAAGGAATAAGATCACTCTTGTCTTTCAAGAAGGCTTACTTGCTTTATTTGAATATATTAGAGACAGTTGAAAGAATGATCAAGGCTTGCTTGTGTATGAAGTAACAACAGAATCACACATCTTTGAAATCTTCCTCCCAATTATGATTGGTTGCTGCTTGCGGCTGTCCTGTGGGTGAGTTCAATGAGTGAACGTTCAATGAATTTTCTTCTTCATCTTCTCTACTAAGACTGAGGTGTGTCCTGGTTTTGAGCTAACAATTTATGCGTTACAAGTCCATGAGTTACGTAAAATGAACTTGAAAAAAAGGACTAGACATATCAGACCATGGAGTCTCAAAACTTCAGCCTTCTTTGAAGAAATCTCAATGGGGCAGTTCACACTACTCCACCTTTGAAAAGCTCTTGCATGCATAGACCACTATGCGCAGTCAAGTTAAGATGAACCGGACTTACTTTGACTCTAGAGGCATAAATTCCAAGCCTCTTTGCGTGCATAGACCATAATGCCCAGTCAAGTCAAGACGGACCGGACTTACTTTGCCCAAGAAGCATAAAAATCCAAGTCTTTTTGCGTGCATAGACCACTATGCCCAGTCAAATCAAAGACGGACCGGACTTACTGACTCCAGAAGCATAAAAGTTCAAAGACGAACTCGTGAGAAGCGAACATGTCTCAGGCATTGTTTTTCGTGCTGTTGTTTGTCATTTCAGTGATTTGGTTTACCTTCACAAATAGAAATAGAAAAAGAAAACATGCTTCTCTCCCACCCGGGAACATGGGATTGCCATTCATTGGTGAAACTCTGCCATTTCTTCGGTCTTTAGTAAGCAACCAGCCTTGGGAGTTCTTCAGAGTTAGAGAAGCCAAGTATGGAAAGGTGTACAAAACCCGGTTGTTTGGGATGCCTGTTGTTGTTGTTTCCCCACCTGTCGGCACCAGGTTCATGTTCGCTGACACCAACCATACACTTATCACCAAGTCATGGCCTGTGCCGGTTATAAAATTGTTTCCCGAGAGTGCTTTTGTTCGCCCAGACGCAAGCGGCTCTCGCCAACTGATAACTTCATTCCTGGGTCCAGAATGCATGAAAAGGTATGTAACTAGCACCAGCGTCATTGTTCAGAAACACCTGGACTCCTGGCCTACTGGAGAGCTTGTCCGTGTATATCCACTGATCAAGAGATGCTTGTTCTCCATCGTATGCAACATGTACCTCGGCTTAACAGACGAGAAAGAGGTAATGGAACTCATGGAACCGTTTGAGAAGGTGATCCATGGGATAATCAGTATACCAGTCAATCTTCCTGGAACAGCCTTCCACAGAGCAAAGTTGGGACAAAAGGAAATATGCAACATACTTGAAAAACACATAGCTAAGAGAAGAATAAACTCACAGCTTTCACCAGCTCGTGATCAAGATCTCTTATCAATGCTGCTGTCCACCAGATCGAAGGAGGGAACTGCAATGACAGACAATGAAATCACGCACAACATTTTGGGATTGCTAGTCTCCGGGCACGAACTTAGTGCAAGCTCAATATCAATGACTATCAAGAGCCTTGTGGAGAACCAGACAGTCTACAAAGAAATGAAAAGAGGTGAGAGTAGTCCAAGGGAAGTCCTTTAAACCCTGAAGCGATTTTATACGATTTTATGGACAGTTCATTGCGAAATAGGATCGTTCAAACGTCCACGAGAACCACTGGAACCACTAGACTTGAAGCAAATGAAGTACTCGTGGAGAGTCGTCCAAGAAAGTCTAAGGCTGAGACCCACTGCACCAGCTGTTGCCAGGAAAACACTTACTGACGTCGAACTCGAAGGATACACCATTCCCAAAGGATGGCAGGTACTGTCGTATAATACATACTGTCATGATTCAAAGGTACAGTTAATTAATACCAGTTATTTGCAGATGTTTTCGGCAGTATACAACAGTCATACAACGCCAGAGTTCTTTCCGGATCCTCTAAAGTTTGATCCTTCAAGATTTGAACGTGCTGGGCCCAATCCATATACATACTTTCCCTTTGGTGGAGGCCCTCGCATTTGTGGGGGCATTGAACAGGTGAAAATGCACAGCTTGGTGATTCTTCATCATATTACCACTCGCTTCGACTGGACCCTTATGGAACCTGATGAACCAATCAAAATATCTCCGGTTGCTGTCCCAGCTCATGGTCTCCCTTTAGAATTACGTCTAGTTTAGAAGCTGGACCATATCGGCCAAGTCCCATATACGTTAATAAACTCGGTCCTTGGACTGCTGGTGGAGACTGGACAAAATCTTTGTGTGGAACTATATATGTATTTCTGTGGTATGAGCTTGTATCTTAATAAGATTCAATAAGATGTTACTTGCGATAACTATACTCTTTTTTAACTTAAGTTGACACTGTTAGGCACCAGAATAAAATATATAAAATTAAAGGCCATGCATTTGTTATTATTAGCATATTCTCATATGATATTAGAACTTGCACTAAGTTCGTGCCCGGAGACTAGCAATCCCAAAATCCCATCATGTCTCATCTGAGTAGCAGGTCCTATTGCAGAAATCCCGTAAAAATGCCTTGCCATCCGGTGTGCTCTTCTGCACTGCTCGCGGATATAACCTGGTGTCAACTGGATTGTTCAGGTAAAGTTCACTTACGCTTCGCAGCCCACTATGATCCTCCTCAAGATCCAAACACGTTTGTTTGCAGAGTCGGGCGTTGGAGAAAAGACTTAAAGCATTTGTATCATATTTTCGAGCATACAAGAGCAGCACCACTGTAACTACATTTTCCGGTTTGTTCTCTATTTGTATTTACGTGGAAGAAACTGCAGGTTGGCAAGATTGCTATGGGATTTGGCCTCTTGCAGCTACCTTCGACGCCTCCCGAGAGAGATTCCAAGTCTGAAAAGACAAAGAAAATCGTGGGCGTTGAAGGTCCCCAGCAAAAAAAGAATCTTGAAAGCCATGGAGGACTGGAAGAAGCAGCAACACAAGTAGAAGTTCTAGGTAACAGTTACCACTGCGTAGATGCTGCAAGTGGCTCAAAAGAGCTGCAGTGCACTTAGTCAGCCATTAGCACGCGAGGAAACTTTCACCTCTTGCTATTTTTGCTTGACTCATTTGCTATTTCTATTTGTTAGATCCTCGACAAGCAAAGAAAATGAGCAAGAAGATTTAGCGACAAAAGAGTTTTTACATTTACTTCAGCTTACTCGTATCTTCCGATGTTAAGGACAGCAGACACTCTAGAACTCGAAAGGATAGCTATTGAAGGGAGAAAATTCGAAGGAACAAAGATTCGTTGCAAAATCTGACACGAGAAACAAAGAGCTCAATGCTTAGTAAGCTTGAAATTGACACACCTTTACTCAGTCGGAGAGTCAGCCTTAAAGGCCGCTTGGAGAGAAGCGTGAGCTGCTGGCTAGACGAACACCAGAATGTTCTCCATTTTGGTCCGGAACTCGTTGAGCGTCAGCTCCAGCACTGTGTCCAGGAACACCTCCTCCGACTCCACCACTTGATGCGCACCGGCATGCAAACGCCGCGGGATCGATCTGGCATATTCGAGCCCCACGGTGAGCACTGCATCGTTTAACAATGCCACGACTTTGAAAGAAATAAAAGTCACATGTAAGTACTAGTTGACAGAAGAAAAAAAGAAAAAGAAAAACTTACTCTGGAATGTTATAAAACGCATTCCAATTTGTTTTTCCATCGGCTGCGAGTGGGATCTCCACATCTGCTTCTCTCGCAAGCCTCACGCATTTCTCCCGAGCGGCCTCACAGAGCTTTTGCAGAAGCACTCGCTCGACCATGCGCAATGCAGATAACCTCTGCTCCAATGCTGAGAGTTGACGGCCCTGGGCTGAAAGCTGACGACTCAGGTCTGTAAGTTCCTCCTTCAGCTTCGAAGTTTCCTCCGCGAGCTTTGCCACTCTCTCCATGAGTTTGGTATTCTCCTCCTTAAGGCTCTCCCTGGAGTCCTTCTGCAGCTCCTGGATTTTCTCAGCTTGCTCTTTGTTGACCTTCATAAGCTTGTTCTCGATCTCTTCTTTCTGTTTGGTGACTTGCAGGATCAACTTGGAGTTCAGAGCTTTGAGTCTCGTGTTTTCGCCCTCCAGTCCCTGGTGTGGCTTGGGAACAACCCTGGTGTAGTTCTGTCTGGCCCATGCCTCAGGCTTCAGCCTCGAGTTCTTGTAGCTAGGATCACTGATTTTGACCTCCAGATCTTCCTTCCGCAGGTTGAAACGTTTCGCTGCCGCATCCACTGCAAAACCAAAAGCGCCATCCAGAGATTTCTTCCAGTCACCCGCTGGAAGAGGCCATGCAGACAGAGTGCACTCCACGTAAAGAATCAGGACGCACGGACGATTCTCTCCAGGCGCAATGTAGTTCCCTGGAAAAAAAAAACGAGGATAGAGGTACCACAAAGCTTCTACGAGGGCAGAGGCATGATCACCCTATTCTGCTTGGCATCCAATCTCTCAGCTTCGAGGGGGAATTCCCTCTTTGCTCTGACGAGAGATATCTTGGCAACGGGGGCGCCAATCGATCGGGAGTGACTTACCGTTGCTCATCGCTCTACCCTTCGCCAGGAACCCTAAACAAATGCTATCATCTAACGGGTCATAAAATTAATTTTCATCGCAATGCCATACACATCACAGAAACGATTCGTGTCGTACAATCAGACAATACTCCTGAAGAAAAAGAGAAAATGATTTGCTCACCCACGTCCTCAGGGCTTGGATCGTGTATTTGTTCTTGAGATTACTGATGTAGAATATTCGAAAAGAGATTAACACCTAAATTCACATTTTCATACAAATTGCCACCAGATGGTATTTTCATCTCATAAGATTATCATTATGACGGATAATGAGCATGGTGGCTCACAATGCTTAAGCTTTTTACACTACAGAAAAAGAAAAAAGAAAGACCTAAATCTGGTGTTCAGCAGAATTGTCACAAGCAAGGTGGAGTGCTGCAATTTACTTCTATGACACGTTGGAGCCACGAGAAATTCAAGGACACTCCATTGGTTTTGGTTAGGTGTAAATCTTGAAGCTTGGATTTCCCTTGCATATGCTGTCCAAGGTTGATTTCCAGATTGTCTGCAAAAATACTTCAATGAAGATGAATAAGCTCCTCAGAGGATCAACCACAACAGCGTATTCTTCTTCTTCTTCTTCTTCTTCTGCTTCCAGACACCATTCACATCGGCAGTAGTGACGCGGATCAGAATCATGTCTCCATTTGTCCCTCCGGAGCTGCAATGCATCTGCCCTCGGTGACATATCGCTGAACAGCCTTGGCCTGTCAGGCATCTCTATGATCAGAGTTTCAGTGAGCTTCAGTGCAAGATGCCCCAGAAACGCTAGAGTCTGGAAAGAAAAAAGAAAGTAAGAAAATGCCAAACCAGAACAAGAATTTTACACACATAACGGATGCCATCAAGGACTGGATAAGGGAATTTCTTGGCTTCCAGGTACTCCTTGTCCACTCGAGCCAGATCCTCGGGAGAGAGTCACATTAGAGGATTCCATAACATCACTAGCTCCTGGGAATGGTAGCCATGGAGTTATTGGAACGGTCCAGCAGGAACGCCGTGCCATGGACTTTTACCTTGGAGCCGAAGAGCTTGGGTTTAAGTTTTCCTCTCCTTGGACCCCAAAGGCTTTTTTTCTTCTCTCTTTAGTTTTCCAATACTCTGGAGCTTGAAAATCACCTCTTCTTTTCCTTCAAAGAATGAAGAAAATCATAGTCTTCGTCTTCTCCTCGAAAGTTCGCTTCTTCCATGGATTCCAAGTTACCATTATAGAAATGACGTGTGTAGCTGGAGTTATGCGTTGTTTGTAGTGGTCTCACTGGGCGCTTCCCAAAAAACATGCAATCGCTACCTTAGCACTAGTTCTAGAGATTTTGATGGCTCTCTCGTCCTTGAATCACGATCTTTCCACCTGTTTGTTCACCGCATTTCAATCCTGCTGGCCAGATCCCAGGGCTTGGGATGTACGAGTTTGAGCTGAGCCGGGACGCCGTGGAGGATTGCAAGGAGCTCGTCAACAAGGAGGTGAGCGACGTATTCAAGGACGAAGATGAGGTGCCGTATGTAGTGGTTCGTTTGTCTGAGTCTCTCTACCGCCTGTTGTGGCTGGACGCGGATAGCTTCCCCGATGCCTTGGCCTTGATCGAGTTCCACGCACAACGGCGCAAGGGAGCTTCTCATCTCGTAGCACAGGCCCAGCTTTCCGTTGTAGGCATGGTGGAGAGTCGCTTGATTTTCTTCTCGTTTGCCTCTTGCTGGAACTGATTCACGATGAAACTGTCTGGACGGGAGAGTGGTGAAGCGCTAGGTGACGCTGATCTCGACGTAGTACTTCTGCCGGATCAGAAACTCTTTGACCAGTCAGCTTCTCGTGGCAGTGGCGTCCAGCTTGAGAGGAATGTGGACGAACACGACCGGCACTGTCATCCCCAGACCTGTGTACTGGATCCATAGCACTTTGCCAAAGAGAAGCGTTGCAAACGTTTGATCCCAAAGAACATAGGCGAACCTGATTCTACTTTGGAGAGCTGCGCTGGCAAGCTCGCGGCCTTTCTTGCGGCAGAGGATTTCAACGTTGCCTAGGAACGAGTTGGACGGACTTGCAACCTGGCCATCTAGTGCTGTTTGAAGCCAGAGGCCCAGCTTGGTGATGTGCATGTTGGAGGCGGCGCACGAATTACTGGAGAGTTTGCATGTTCATGGCAAAGAAATGACATTTCATCTAGAAGAAACTTACCTTATTTCATTGAAGTAGACGTGCTTGAAGGACGATGACGATATAAGTCCAGAAGATTTGCTTTACACGTGAGAGAAGAGTTATGAATGTTGTACCAGAGAAAAAAGTAATTTCGTATAATCGCTTGTAAATCCGTCGTGTCTCACTGCTTGGAGAGAGGCTGCAAGGCAATTGTCTTGCTTCGTGATAGCCATTGAGCAAGAGTATAGAGCCTGTCCATGAGCTTCTGTATGCAAGGCACACAAAGTGATACATAAGAAGCAAGCAGTGAGTTCTAGATATGAGAACAACTGGAGGCGTATTTGGCAGTACATGAAAAGCAGCTTTGAGAACGAAAAGAAGTTGTTAACAAAGTCGTTAGGACTTTGCAACAAGAGGACTATGCTTTGCTAAAAGTGCTGATATAAACATCAATTTTTTCTTGGACTCATAAACTTCGGCCACTCCACCTCCATTTCACCACCTTTGTATTTCTCTTCCATGGAATATATCAGTGATTCCTGCCATGAGATCTGGGTGGATCTCAACACAGATCCTTGTGCATGATGTTCTTGCTATAAAGCCAAGGCCAAGGCCTGCAGCAAGGCAATCAAGTAACTCTTTCCTTGAGCACGGCCTTACATCATGCCCACTTTGAAAGACAATGTGGTGCTTTTCTTGGTTCGCATATAAAGCCTTCTCAACAAACGGGATCAAAGCGTACATGGAACACACACTCGTTGCCTTGATATCATTCGGGTACGTCTTCACCATTTTGTCCAAGTAGAATTCCAAAGTTTTCCCACTCGGTCGAGTCATGCTCCACATAGGCAGCACACTCGAACTTGAACATTGACAGATTAATTCCAGGTTGTAGACCTTCAGGCAAGTGATGAAGATTCCCAAGCGACCTTCTGCAGTCCTCATATCAAACGTTTGTAGATCCGGCCAGTGTGTTGGAAAGAGGGCACAGAACGTGCTCTAGGGAATAGAAGCACCGTAAGGCCAGCCATGGTTATCCACCAGTTCATCTGCAGGATCTCCTGGTGTACCATCTTCCCCCGTCTCCTCGCCCTTGAATAGGACGTAGCCATTGCCAAATGCGTAGACATCATCTGCCTCAACAAGCTCTCCGAGGTCTTGTTCCTCAAGTAAACGACTATCTGCCCATAGAAGGAAGGCACTGGTCATCGTATCCTCTGTACCCTGGGCGAGCGACGGTGCCCAGGCCGGGTATTGTGGAGATGCCGGAGTAAGCACTGGGCACTGAGATGCTGACGACGTACGCCCAAAATGGACACTCGGGAGAGTGCATCGAGCTCTTGAAGGCCATGGAAGTTGAGGGCGTGAGGCCCAACGATACCTCTTTCACTTGCGCCCTGCTTGGCTGCAGCCATCTTGGAGACTTAGAAGCTGGCCTGGAGTTTCCGCGTCCGTGACTGGTGACCATGATCTGACTCAAAACAGGCACCACTTTAGCTGTATGATCGACATACTTGCCCGATCTGGGCATCTGGAGAATGCTCGAGAGCTTGCCTGGAGTATGCCGTTTGTCTGGATTGGAACTGCTTGCTTCTGGCCTCGAAGAGTCACAGTGATACGAGTAAAGCAGCTAGATACGTTCTCGAGGCTGGTTTCAAGAACTCGACTCCATATGTGATGCTATCCACAACAATGCGAATGAGAAGATGAAGGAGAAGCTGCACAAACAAACGTTTTGATTTCGAGTAAAAAGTATACATTTGCGAGATAAAAACACTCACATTCTCTAACGGAGAAAATTTGGCTGGGGTGAAGTGATCACGCCGTTGACTTTGGCAACTTGTACTGTCTCTTGAGAAACTGTGAGGCGTCGTCGTCCATGCGGTGGCAAAGTATTCTAAGCAGTGTGTCTGCGTCGCTTGCAGCTCGAATCCCCGTCCGCTGGACGCTGGTACCGCTTGCCATCCGGTCGCTTGCTTTACGAAAGTTCTCGATTAACACATATGTCTGCCGCAACGCAACAAATTTGATCACGACATGAGCAAAAAAGATGTGCACCTCAAGTCGATATAGCTCGATAATCTGTTGTGCAGGGGCAGCAGCATTTTCGACAACTCCCCTCTGAAGACCTTCCCCTTCGGCAATGAAGAAATTCTAGCAGAAACATCACAAGGCTTGCATGAGCGAGGACACGGTGAATCCTACAAACCTTCAACACTCTAAGATCGTGCTCCAGCATATCCACGTCATTATGGGAAAATGCACGCGAAGGGCCACCATCAAGAAGCACACGGATAAGACCTTCCTGCAAAGCCATTGTGGTGAGAATCAAAACCTCGTAGGAGTTTCTTACGATTGCAGCTTGCAAAAGGCCCAACACAAGTCTGTCTCTCAACGCTTCTACCACCATTTCAACAATTTGTCCCAGAATCTGGAAATATTAAGATCGAGTTAAAAACCGCACAGTGGAGCACGTTTGAACGTTCTTACGGGATCAAGGTTGTTAACAACTTGTTCCATCCGTGCCTCCGTAACGCCTCCTTTATACAACCCATCGATGAATGGGTCTCGCATATCCCAGAAAATCAATTTTGTTCCTAAAAGAGCGTTAAGTCTCTGGTTGGAAAAAAGCACAGAGAATTCATACCTGTGAATTCACATATCTTGTCAATTGCTGCATTTGCTGCCTTTCGAGAACCATCAAATGAAGACGAGATTTCGTCAAGAGGCCTCACTCTTACATCTCCGTTTCCTGCAAATATGTAAGTAACGGGGAAATACATGATAAATATACTCACTTCCATTTGCCTCAGTTTTTGGTTTTATAGTTGATTTTCCAGAACGCCATCGATCTCGGATGTTGTCTTCTAGAACGTCCACTTGATTGAGTATATACTACAAAGGTAAAAATACTCAGTCCATGGGAACCATTAGTTCATGAAACAAACTCACGTAAATGGAATTAAGACGAACACATAGCCTGGACGTTGTGAGAAGTCTAATATCGTCCCCTCTCCTATCATCCGGTAGGCCAGGATCCACGAACCTCTTTTTCGAAAACATTTTCAAAGAAGTGTCTTTACCATAACGTGTCAAACTTGGTGGAGGAGGAATTAAATCAGCTTTGGTGCCTGCATTGACAGAAATAAATAGAAACATACAAGCAATATCCACGTACCTAGCTGACCGACAATCTTATTGCAGTACAACTGTAGTGCATTGTCTAAGCCGTTTGTTAGACCTTTCAAAAGAGAAATTTTCATTGGAAGCTTCAAACCAAAAAATTGCTCAACGGTCTGCACTAAAAAGGTTAGAAGCAGAATTGAAAACAACGACAACAAACCTCGTCTATAATGCGAAAAACCTCAACGACTGATTCCCCCTGCCGCTTTTGCATGGACAAGGGCTCCCATTTCTACAGGCTACATGTCATGATTATAAAAAATACAATGTTTGTACCTCTTGACGAACAGTACGATCAACCCAGTCAGACAATCTGCTCAGTTGAGCGTTTACCCAACGCATGATAAGAGTTGCTGACAGATTTTCCACCTTCGAACAACAAAAGTTATCCGCATCGCAATTAGAAAGGGTTGTCTACTCACCTCATAAAAAGTCATTTGCTGGCGATAAACGTTGTTACCATCATCAACAGCTCCAACAAGTTCGGTCAAGTAGCGATCCAGGCTATCAGCAGCAGGAAGAACAGACGCAACGTCATCTGTCAAGTGAGATACACCGTCTAGAAATGGTTTCTAGGTAGAAACAGGTTACTTAGAAATGAAAGATGAATGAAAACCAAATCAGGTACCAGTTCTTTGTAGTACAGCGTATGCAAGAGAGAGCCAGTGATAGCTTTGGCTTGCGGTTGCCAACGAGACAAAATGGGGGCAAAGGTTGAAGCATCTTTCCTGGCAAGAGCTTCCACATCTTCCGCGAGCAAAGCCAGAGGATGATCGTGCTCTGCTTCAGATTTAGCATCCACACCTTCCAAAGCCTATAAAAACTGTAAGTAGTATCACCTGGAGGAATAAATCATGACATACCCTCTCATAAGCGAGTTTTACTGAGGACCAAATATACTCCTCTGCCTGTTTAGCAATAGCTGCTTGATTTGCTGCCGACGTCATTCTCGTTATCTGAACAAAGAAAAATCAAACCTCCGAATTTATCTCTATCAAACGCTTACTTCGGTCTTTTCGTCCTCTTCTGCTATTAACCTTCCAGCGATCATAACCAACGTAATAAACTGTTCCATTTTCGCTGCGTCCTGCATCAAAATGTCATGGCTATAACAAAGAAAATGTCATGTAAGTACCTCGGAAAAATGCAGGTGGTAATCGTTAAGCCGCTTCTCTACCCAAGTCTTGATAGGCTCGACTATAGATTGAACAAAAGAAAGATCTTGGGACGTGCCATTCAAAACAATGGTAGACCGCAAGCTCTTCATATACGCTCTTTCTTGTGCGCTGCGTTGACTATCAGATGCTATTCTTTTCATTTGTTGTGCAGCATGTTGTAAAAGCGAGACTTCATCAGTGATGACAAACTAAATATACACACATGTAGTATCCAAGTTGACGTACAATGTGGAAAAAATGGTTACCTGGCGGAAAAGGACCCATGTATAACAGGTGTTATGCACAGTTTGAGTGATTCCTAATATCTTCCATGTAGATTTGAGAAGCTCAAGGATCTCGTCTGCCTCCTGCAAAACCATATCGTAATAATTTCAACTAGAGCCTGTGAAATTACCTCGATTAGCTGTCCTTCATCCAGAATATCAAACGTACTGCTGAGCAACCTTTCGTAGATTCGAACGTTTAGATGATAGCCATCAGCCCAATGACAAACTTCCCCAATCTGATCCCCTCTGCTAGCTCTTTCTGCCAACGCTAATGAAACACCTCTTAGCGCTTTCAAAGCCTCGGCATGTTGTGCTGGACCCGCGGGGGATGGTAATGTCTACAAGCAACAAAGAAACAGTTTTCAGACATAAAAACGAGCCCTTTTTTTTTTACCTCTGCTTCCTCTATCTTAGCTATTAATGTTCTCAACTCGCCAGCTTGGCGATCATTGTGCTCTAAACTTACAGCAGGAAAATTGACAAGGCCTTCCTCTAGAAGATTTAGCTGTAACAAACTATGTCAGCTGAAAAACAAGTTTAACTTACATTTACCTGTCTTCTTTGCCAGCGTAGATGAACTTTCTTCTCCGTGAAATCTGCTCTCGAAATACCGCAAAGCAGTTCAAGTGGAATGAGTAAAGTGTCCATTCTTTTGCCCACCCTCCCAGCGGAAGAATGCAGCAAGGCTTCTCTTGTCCTTTTGTCGGAAGCCTCAGAAATCTGAAAACAGAGAAATAAAATGTCCGTAGCTGTAATAAATGAAAACAAAAGAAAAACCTCCAGCTGTGTACGCATTAGTTCCAGTAAACCAGCAAGCCCCTGTGCCTTTGTTGGCTCGGGTTTGTGCTTTTCGGACTTACTCCTGGTAAACTTCCTCACGAGCTTCATTTTCTTTTCCTCTTTCTTTTCCTTGGGCGGTGCAACAAGACCCCTGTTCCAGCCAGTATTAACGCTTAGATAACATATCAACTGTGAAACATACGCTGTCGCACCAACTGATGCAAGAAGAACTTCGTAAGCAGTCTCACGCAAATCATCCTCGGATAAACCTGAGAAATGGAGCTTTAGTAGTAAAATCTAAAAAGTAACACGACATACCAGTAGCAAAGGGAGGAAGTTTCAAAACGAGGTCACTCGCGTCATTTAGCTTTCTTCTTGACAGCTCCCCCGTCACCTCATTGTCATCTTCAAAATCATCAATCTCGTCATCAACGGAGATTTGCTGCGATGGAGTTGACTGTATAGATATAGACTTGGATAGCGATGATTTTGCGACTGGTGGACTCAATGCCGCAGGCGCAGGGACCGAGCGCATAGGAGGTGGACCTGAAACTTGCGGATCTGTAACGAGATAATAGATGTCACCCTTTAAAGAATTTGCCTGTAGAACCAGAAAACTTTTAGTGTGAATTAGCAGCACGTCACCAGAACATACCACCGCTGGAATGTGAGCATCATCGTGAAACTTTTTAATCGCCTCCGAAAGCTCGAGAATTCCACCTATCAGAAAAGCTATCTTTTAGAAAAGCAAAAGCATTCAACCTCACCTTTCTTCGCGCATTCCAGGATATAATCAATGCTAACTTGCTCTAGATCAATATCGTCAAGAGTGACAGCTCCGGGAGGCATGACCACCTTGCGGAAAATGCTAGCCGATAGAATGAACGAGAGAAGTTCCCTCCTGTCACGCCGGTACCTCTGGAGTAGCATCTCTTGACTCCTAAGAACATCACATCACACATTCTTATAGGTAAGTCTCCAATAACGCAAAACTAAGCACTGAAGTCTACATTCTAGGACCAATTCTTCCGCCATAGATCGCCTGGATCTAGCCTGATCTTGCCGAAAATCTCACACCCGGTGGATGCGCAATGCAGGAATTCTAGTCTGAGCTCACTCACCCCATAGCTCGCGCAGAAAGATTTCGCTCCTCCAAAGCGCGCCAAGATGCCGCTATCCACGCGCGCTTCCACAAACCCTAGCGCTATGCCAGAGCTCCAGGGCGCGCCCTTCCCTCCAGGTCCTAAAAGAATGTGGAAGAAGAACAGGCGGAAGAAGACCTGACGTGGCGTCCACAGTGGACAGGCCACGTCACTGTGACTACGACACATCAGCGGATAGCGTGGGTTAGGGTTGGAGCAAGTTTTAGGGTTTATGTGAGGAAGAATTGCAATGCGGGCAGCGATTCTCCTCGGTGAGTGCCCGTGAGCTGCGAATATGAGCCCCGGCATCGTCAGGAAGATCGTGGAGAATATGGAGTCCGGCATTGCGTGCTATGGACTCCTCAAGCACGAATTCGCAGGAGCAAGGCTCTTCGTCGGGCGAATTGTTCCTTCTTCGTGTTCGTGCTGTTCTTCCAGGTAAATTTTTGCCGTTTCCAGTGATTTCCAGTCGATCGATCGGGCCATTCAGGTGTTTTATCGTCAAGCCTCATCCTCGTTACTTGTCAAGGACATCGTTGCGAGACATCAAGCTCCAGTTCTTGCGCTCTAGATTTTCAACGTGGGCATCCTCGAGTCCCGATCAAGCTTTACGTGAGGAGGAAGAGATCGGGAGCTCCGAGATCGAAACCTCCACATCCAAAGTCTCCAAAGATCTTGGAGAAAGCGTAAGATTTCAAACTGACAATGGGATGGAGCTAAAGGTTTCTTCGAGCGTCTTGGAGCGAACAGGCCTGGAGCAAAGTGGGGCATCGTCACAGGAAAGTGAGGTACTGCTACGGAGCAAAGAAGAGATTTTGGCTAGCAGCACAAGTGACAGCAGCATTACTTCAGAAATTCCTGCTCCAAAGATGACGATCATCGTTTTCGACCTCGAGACAACAGGTTTTAGAGCTGCTGGTGATCGCATTATAGAGTTTGCAGCTCGTGATCTTGCTGGGGGTGATCGCAGTACCATTTCTGCTCTAGTGAATCCCGGCCGGACTGTTCCTTACCTTATAACAGCTGTTACAGGAATAACGAATCAGATGGTGAACAAGCCTCATGTTCCCAGGTAAGAAAACTACTTTTGTGTTCGTACTTCATTATCTTTTCTTTCTTTTTCCCTCGCAGCTGGAAAGAGGTTGGCCCGTCCATTATTCAGTTTGTAGAAAGCCGTCGAAAGGGTGATGAGCCTGTTATCCTTGTCGCGCACAACGGGAAGAGGTTTGACGTTCCATTTCTTCTTAAAGAGTTTCAGAGTTGCGGGATACAAGTTCCTGAGTGGTGGCTCTTTTTAGATTCCATGCCTCTGGCTCGGGAAACGAAGAAAAAATTCGGTACGTGTTTATAAATACCATTTCTCGCGTCTCATAACCGTACTACAGGATATAACTGGCGGTCTTTGAAACTTTCTGTTTTACATGAAGCATATGGTCTGCATTCCACAGAGCGTGCACATCGCGCCATGGCAGATGTGAATATGCTTGCTTCGGTGCTGGAGGCAATAGTATCCGAACTTCAGCTTCCGGCCAGTGAGTTTTTAGAAAAGGCCTTCACCGCTGACGAAGTATACGCCAGCTCCAAGCTTTTCCGAGATATGGATAGAGGGGAGTTAGTGACGGATTCATCAGCTACACAGGAGCTGACAAAGGAGGATAGGCTTAACGTTCCTTGGGAGGATTTGGAACTGGAAATCACGGTTGATGAAGTGGAGGAAGAGATGGTATTAGAAGAAGATGTGGAAGGGGTCAGGGTTGAGATGGAGCAGCAGTCGAGCAGGACATTTCTGGATACCGGATCTGTGGATTCTACAGTTTTGAGCCCTGCTCTTGCGAACTATGTCGAGGCAAAAAGAAAGAGACCAAGCTTTATTCACCTCTTAAAAGCTGGTGACTTTTACGAGGTATTACATTCCGCACTCTGAGAGCTTTCTTTATGCACATGACGCTACAGGCTCTTTTTGAAGATGCAATCTCTTTGTCTAGAACGTGCAAGATTCGGCAAAGCACAGTCGAAGATGGCGAGGTACGTTGCTTGCTACGTTTACCGTCTCTGATTTACGATGATGATGTAAAACGCAGATCGAAGTTCCAGTTACGAGGTTTCCAGCGTGTAAATTTTATGTGTATACAAAAATTTTGTTCGATAGAGGAATAAGCGTTGTAAAGGTACGTGCAAGCTTTTTGTAGGCATACAAAGCTGATATCTGTTTTGGAAATGGTTATAGGTTGGTGATGAGGTCCAAGAATCTATCTGCGTTTTGACGCCAGGAATGCTTCTCGATGAAGGGATTATAGACGAGACACATAATAATTATTTGGTCGCAGTTAACGTGTCCGCTGATTCTTCTTGGGGGCTAGCATTTTGTGATTTAGCGACCGGTACTGTTGGTTGAAATGATGATATTTGTATCTTTCTTACGTCTTTATTGCAGGAGATTTTTGTGCTACACAATCTGAAGGTTTGGCCGCTTTGATGGACGAGCTGGGTCGACTAAAACCAAGAGAGGCCATATTTAACTCGCAAGTGAGTTTGTTGATCTTGAATTTGCCTTCATGATATATCTTTGTGTTTTTTCTCATCACAGGCGATTAGACCATATTTAGAAGAAGTATGCGTAGTAGCACGCGATTCGTCAGAGTTTTCTCCCATTTCAAATGATACTGTAAGGTCTTTATAGTTTTGTAAACGATGAGACATTTTTCTATTGTGCAGCTTTTACTTCCATACATCGGAGAAAAAACTGTCGATGCAATTCAGCAGTGGTCTTTAACTGACTCTGCGGCCAGGGCCTTACTAAGGTGCATGCTTAAGTTATATCGCGAGTTTTATAGTGGAGTGTATGTGACACTTTCGTGCTCAGATACGTTCAGCAAATACAAGCGTTTGCACTTGACGAGCTTTCCCTTCGGCAATTACTTTTGTATAAAACCGAAGATTATCTTCGTCTTGATGAAGGCGTAAGAAGCTACTTAGAGGTACTAAATAGCTCTATTCTGTTCTTGTTCATCATTGTGATTTCCAGCTAGTCGAAGGTAAAAGAACTGAGACCGCGTCCCTTCTTTGGGCAATGGACGAAACTAAAACTAGTATGGGTACTCGTTTACTGAGGCAATGGATGTTACACCCTTTAAGAAGTCTTGAATCGATTCTTTTACGCCAAAATGCCGTGGAGGTCAGTAGCAATGACTCTTATGATTTTTATCCAACTAAATAGCTCCTCAGGTTCTCCTAAAAAATAGTCCTGTTCGTGAAGCATTGCGTTCCTGTCTCTCGACCATGGTGGATGTTGCCAACCTTTCGGGAAGTATTGCACGACAGTCCACCCTTTCTTGGTGGGTCTCTGCAACATCTTTCTAATGTACTGATCAAGCTGCTTTCCAGGGACGAGCTTATTGCTTTGGCAGACTCGCTGTTGATGCTACCCAGGATTTCTCAGATACTTGAAGAATTTCCAGGAAATGATTATTTTTCGGCTGTTATTCGCCATCAAGCTTTTGCCGAGAAACTGGCCGAAGAGATTCAGGTTTGTCCCGGCTTTTGATAGAATGTTGAATGATCTACACTGACCGTTTGGCTGCCTAAGAGCTTGAACCTTACGTTTGTATTTTCTGCTGAAGGTGGCAAGGAGTTCCGCAACTGATGCTGACATTGGTTTCGAAGCGAGCGATACAATCTCTGAGCGTTCGGACCTTGTGGAGAGTCTGAGAAAGAAAGTTACAGACTCGCTGCTGACGCTACAAGAAACGAGTAGTGCATTGGCTGCACTGGACGTCCTTTGCAACTTCGCTGGTATGTCTTTTCCAAAACGACGCCATTGCCGACCTTTGTTTTGTTTCATGCAGAAATCGCTGCAGCAAGGGATTTCAGCAAGCCAGAGCTAGTACCAGATGGACGACAAATCACTATAGTGGATGGTAGACATCCACTGGTTGAAATACGTAAAGACTTCCAGCCGACTTCGTGCTCGCTGGGCTACCAGCCGAGACGCGGTCGTTCGAAGAAGGTAGAAGACAGGCCCGACTTGCTCATCGTCACCGGTCCCAGAGGCAGTGGCAAGACGTGCTACTTACAACAAGTAGCTCTCATCCAGGTGCTGGCACAGATCGGCAGCTTTGTACCGGCTAAAGAAGCTCGACTATCCATTGCGGACGGAATCTACAGCGTCGACTGGCCCGATGGAAGAAAGGTCCTGGACAAAGTCACAAGCAGTTCGCTCGTTCTTCTGGATGACTTTCGGCTGAGAACTGGCTTCCAAGAGACCGAGGCAGCCTTGTTGAGAGCAGTGATGGAGTACCTGGCAAACCACGTAAACGCAAGAGCTCTACTCGCCATGGAAGACTACTACGAGAACTTTCACACCGAGCTTGCGAACGCTACAGCGTGTCACTTCTCTTCGTCGCATGCATTGTTTCCCGGCTTGGCTCCTCCGCCGGATGGTTTCCAGAGCGGGGATTATCCGGAGTGGATTCGCAGGAGGGCCGGCAAGCTTCTGGAGAAGAATGCGCGCAGCAGCAGCTGTGGTGAGGAAGCTGGAAACGAGGATGCGGATCAAGGGACAAATCTCTGGCACAAGATCATGAGCTTTACGAAAGTCAAGACGAAGAACTCGAGAGATTCAAAGACGAAGGAGCCCGCTCAAGCTCCAGGAGAAGATCTAGAGCAGCTATGGCAGCAAGTGTCCACGGTGCTTCAAAGCTCTCCAGCAACCTTGGCTCTCGCGACACAAAAGGTACTTGCCGCGAACTTAGACGATTCATTGATTCACTTGTTGGTTTGTTCTTCTTTGGCAGGGATCACTCGTGTCGATCTCACAGACCTCGCAGCCGGCAATCGTGACGATAGGATCGTCTCCTCTGTTCGTTAGAAAGTTCCAGCAGCACGAGCACGCCGCGGCTCTCGAGGCTGCGTTCGAGAGCTTGCTCAATCGCCCAGTCAAACTCCAAATTTTGGTCGATGATTAACTGTCATTTTAGCTCTGGATAGATGGAAAGTTTGATACGTGAATATAAGAAAATCGGTCCATACCATGGATTTCTTAATTGGTGTACTTCCTCTGGATTTCCTTGAGCACGCAAGGTAGCTCCGCAATGCTAGAGATTGTATAGCTCGGATGGATCGAGCTTGATGGTGGATGGCCGTGTAAGTTCACCCAGATTGTTGCGAGAAATCCAGCGTTTAGACCCCCCTGATGCATCAAAGTTAGCACCAAAACGCGTACTGTTTATCACACCACCTGAATGTCTGTCGAGAGATTGTCTCCAACCATGACAGATTCTCGCGGATCACACCCGGCAAGCTCGCAAGCCTTGAGAAAAATCTCCTTGTATGGCTTTTCTCGGGGCTCCTCTGCACGAAAGTTATCACCGAGTTAGAGAAAAACGAAGGGCCTCACCTCCACCCACGAGAATAACGTTGAAGAGTTCTTGAGCTTTGCACGCTTCCAGCTTCGCTCTTTGGACCTTGCAAGAACTTTTATCATGTGAAGATTCCCAGGAAAGAACAAGCTTACCACAGTGTGTCCATTCGTGATGAGCCCGACTTTCAAGCCTTGATTTTGCAACTCCCGCACAAGCTGCTCTTCTAAAGCTCGAAAGTCATAACGAGAGAAAGAGAAGAAAAACTAGAAATCTCCTTACCGCTTCGACACCTTCGGCCCACTGGAACGCAAGCATTCTCTCCCGGTCGAAGCAAGCTTGCAAATCCTAGAAAAAAAGCGAAAGGATGGAGGTAGTAAACTAACAACTTGGAGCAATGGACTCACTCTGGCTAGTTCTATGTCTTGGACGCTCCATTTCTGGAGAGCAACGTGCCAGATTCGCGCTCGCCACTCCGTAACATCGACCTGGGGAATCCACAAATAAAATCCACAGCAATGTAGCTAAATCGCCAAGCTAGAATTACCTGACCGACTGGATCCCAGGGGCTGGAGCTGAAACCCTCGAGAAACGCGCTCACCACCTCGTCGGCATTGGACGACGGCGCTCGATTCGCGAGCACGGCCTTGACAGCGTCGTTGGCGATCTTGGTCGCGGCGTGAGTGAGCACCAGCGTGTCGTCCAGATCGAAGAACACAGCTCCAAGACGCGCCATGGAGAGAGCTTGCAATGAGCAAAGATATTTCTTACCAAGAACCCTAATTTATTGCCTCAGCAGGGAGAAAGAGGAGGAGCACTGCAGGTAAGACGCTAGGATTGGATTGGATTGGAATGGATTGCTGGATTGCTCTCTTCTCGCGATTCCAGTCCCAAGGCGCTTGGATCTGATCGAAATCCCCGGGTGCGCCGTCCACGATGAACGATGCCGAGGTCGCCAAGCAGGTCGCGCAGATGGTGAGATTCATCCGCCAGGAAGCCGAGGAGAAAGCCAACGAGATCTCGGTCTCCGCAGAAGAGGTAAGGTTTTCTTCTCCTCCTCTTCTTTGTAGACTTGGAATAAATTGATAGATGGATGGATGGGTTCTTTCCTTCGGTGGAGCTGACATTGGATTTCCAGGAGTTTAACATTGAGAAGCTGCAAATCGTGGAGGCCGAGAAGAAGAAAGTCCGCCAAGAATACGAGCGCAAGGAGAAACAAATCGAGGTTCGTCGAAAGATGTGAGTTCCATCCTTCTTTGTCTTCGCTTTTTGTCTCGTTATCCTCCTTTCGGACAGCTTAAAAGCTTGATTTTCGCTGTTTTGTAGCGAGTACTCCACGCAGCTCAATGCGTCGCGCTTGAAAATCCTGCAAGCGCAGGACGATCTCGTCCGTGAGATGAAGGACGCTGCCATGAAGCAGCTCCAAAACACATCAAACAACCAAGGAGCTTATAAGCAGCTTCTCAAAGACCTCATCGTCCAGGTAAGTCTTCCCAGTTTGTCGATCAGTAGCAAAGAGCTTTTCTCGTTTCTTTCCTTTCAACTCAGGCCCTGATAAGATTGAAGGAGCCTGCCGTGCAAATTCGCTGCCGAGAATCCGACCGTCATCTCGTCGAGTCTGTCGTCGACTCCGCGAAAGACGAGTACACGTCCAAGACCAAGCTGCAGCTCTCGGAAGTCATGGTGGACAATCGAAAGTTCCTCCCCTCTCGCCAAGCCGACGGCCTCTCCTGGTAGATCCATCTCTTTCATTTCTTCCAAAGGATCAAGAATAACTTCCATGTCTTTGCAGCGCCGGAGGGATAGTTCTCGCAACCAAGGACGGCAAGATCGTGTGTGACAACACTCTGGACTCTCGCCTCGAAATCGTTCACAAGCAAAACCTCCCAGAAGTAAGCAAAGAGTTTCTCCTTTCCGATGGAAAATCTATCTAACGAGATTTTGCAACAGATCCGAAAGCGCCTGTGTGGATCCAGACCGAGAGCCGGAGCGTAAGACGAAGAACTCGCCATGCATTCTATTATTTACAATATAGGCGTGGTAAAAGAAGAGAAAAATCGAGCGTGGTTTGCAACCATTGCTTCGTTTTCTTTCCTTTTTGGTTTAATAAGAGCTGACGTTGTGATAAACGTGGTTCTCTCTCTCTCTCTCTCTCTCTCTCTCGCTAGTTCTTCGTGGCTATGGCGGCTGGATTTGTGACACGATCCTTTGGCGCCGGCTCTCTAGTTCCATCGCCACGCGAGGTTGAGGCCTTACCTCTTCCACATTCTCATTGATCATGCGTTTGCTGAATTCCACAGGCCTGGAGCGCGAAACCTAGTGACTCCTGCCACTCCAAGTTCTCGGCGATCAGAGCATCGGTGACCAAGGTCAAGGAGGAGATTGATCCGTCTGGACTGAAGCAGCGGCAGGGAGAAGAGAGGATTCCGGTGGGAGTGCTTGGAGCGAGTGGCTACACTGGATCAGAGGTATGGTTTTTTCTTTCTTTTGCTTTTGGTTGAAGAAACTTTGGTTGTTCTCGGGATCATAGGTGATACGATTGTTGGCAACGCATCCTTTTTTCAATGTGAAGCTCATGACCGCGGATCGCAAGGCGGGTCAATCGCTCGCTACGGTTTTCCCGCACTTGGTTATCTCTCAGGTGAGAGCCATCGCAATTTTTCTCTCTCTCTCTCTCTCTCTCTCTCTCTCTCTCTCTTAATTGTTGTTTTTTTTCTTTAATTCTTTCTTTCAGAGCTTGCCTGATATGGTGGCCGTGAAAGACGCGAATTTCTCCGACGTCGAGGCCGTTTTCTGCTGCCTCCCGCATGGAACAACTCAGGTAAAGTTTGCCACTTTTGTTAGAGAACTTTTAATGATTTTGTTCCTCCAAGAAAACAGGAAATCATCGCAGCTCTTCCCAAGAGATTGAAAGTCGTCGATCTCTCGGCTGTAAGTCATCCAAGAAAAACTAAAGAAGAAAACATCTCTGAAGTTTTCCGTGTGTCTGTCTGTGTAGGACTTTCGCTTGGCAGACATAAAAGAATACGAGGAGTGGTATGGCGGCCCGCATCGCGCTCCAGAATTGCAAGTAAAATCCCACTTTGAATCGGCATCAAGTTTCACGATCTTTTTCGTTTTTTTCTTTTTTTTTTTCCTTTTATTCTAGGAAACAGCAGTCTACGGGCTAACGGAAATCCACCGAGAAGAAATCAAACAAGCCCGCTTGGTTGCAAATCCAGGTTGCTATCCAACATCTGTGCAAATTCCTCTCGTCCCACTCCTCAAGGTACTCACTTTCAAAAATCACTCAAAACTACGTAACTTTCCACACAGAGCCAACTTATAGAACCAGACGATATCATCATCGATGCAAAATCTGGAGTGAGCGGCGCAGGTAAATATTTTTAAGCTTCTTCACGAGTAAAATATCTTTCTTTTTCACCCAGGCCGCTCTGCGAAGGAAGCAAATCTCTACACAGAAGTCGCAGAAGGCCTGCACGCTTACGGTGTCACCAGGCACCGCCATGGTAAAAAGCCACGTTCCTCGTTTCACGTAAGAAAAGCTCACGTTTTGATTTGTTTTGCAGTGCCAGAGATCGAGCAGGGCCTGGCACAAGCAGCTGGCTCCAAGCTCAAAGTCAGCTTCACACCACATTTGATGCCAATGGTAAAGAAACTTACGTCTCCTTCCTCTTATGTTATCGTCGCGGTTTCAATGCAACAGAGCCGAGGCATGCAATCGACCATTTATGTGAAGCTAAAAGCTGGCGTGAGCGCCAGAGATTTGCGAAAGCACCTGGTGGAAACATACCAGAGCGAGGAGTTTGTCAAAGTTCTCGGCGAGGGAATCGTCCCACACACTCGCCACGCTCGAGGATCAAACTACTGCTTCATCAATGTCTTTGAAGACAGGATCTCTGCAAGAGCTATCATCATCTCTGTGGTAAGTCCAAACACATCTACGTGGAATGGAAGAAAAAACACTTTCCTTTTCTCTTGGCAGATTGATAATCTCGTCAAAGGCGCGTCTGGCCAAGCTGTGCAAAACCTCAATCTTATGATGGGCTTTCCAGAGAGTACCGGACTGTTGCAGCAACCTCTGTTTCCTTGAGCGAGACGTACAAACTTTTTGGTATTTGTTTTTCGAAAGATAGAAAACTTGCTTAAATTTCGTCAAGCTCGGCTTCAAACGGATCAATCTCGGGATAGTCTCCCACCTGGGAAGGAATTTCATTAGATAACGGTCCCAGCTTCACGCCAAGATAAGCAAAGCGCAGCTCACCTTAAGCTTGTCCGGTCGAAGCATGACACCGTGACCGTTTGGACAAGTGAAGTAGCGCTTGCCTTTCACCCTGCAAAGAAAAAGAAATAAAGAAAGAGATCGTGACATCTCTTAAAACCAAGAACAGGAGAGCTAGGCGAGGAAAAAACCTCGCATACTTACATGCCATCGTGCTTGCCAACTGGTTCATCGCATTGAATTCCAATCCAAAACCCAGCGGGAAGGCCCTCCACTCTACCAACGTACATCACCTCGCCTCTCTTTTGGCCCGCAACAATCTCGCATCGATCACCAACCTGTACCCCATTTTAGCATCCTGGCAGGGAAGCATTTAAACCGGAGAAACGACAAGGGTCTCACTCACTTTGATGCTTGCGGCTAGATCGGCCATAAAATCATCCGTTATCTGGGCACGTCACGA